CAACAACAACATAATTATGAAATCAAAATGACTAGACAACATAAACATACTTGATACAACACCAGTGTAATAGATGAATAATTAACTGGTGATACATTTCGGATAAGAGGACATATGACAACGATATATGAGTTGAACGGAGGCTTAGTAATAGGAGAATATTGAAATAGGACGGTCGTAGCGTTTGTTAATTATATCATAAACATTACTGACTTACTTACCTACTTACTTAGGCCTGTTACTTCCAATGGACCATAGGCCGCCGACCAGCTTTCTCCAACCCACTCTATCCTAGGCCTTCTTTTCTAGTTCTATAAAAATTCTGTTCATTTTTCTCATGTCTGTTTCCATTTCTCAAAGTAATGTGTTCTTTGATCTTCCTCTTTTCCTTTGGCATTCAGGAGTCCATGTGAGGGCTTGTCTTGTGACGCAGTTGGATGATTTCCTCAATGTGTGTCCTATCCACTTCCAGAATTTCTTCCTGATTTCTTCCTCCGCTGGAATCTGGTTTGTTCTCTCCCACAGTAACTTGTTGCTGATAGTGTCTGGCCATCGGATCCGAAGTATCTTGCGTAGACATCTGTTAATAAACACTTGTATCTTCTGGATAATGGCTTTCGTAGTTCTCCACGTCTCCGCCCCATACAGTAGGACTGTCTTGACATTTGTATTGAAAATTCTAACCTTGGTGTTGGTTGACAATTGTTTTGAGCTCCAGATGTTTTTCAGTTGTAAATATGCTGCTCTTGCTTTGCCGATCCGCGCCCTCACATCTGTATCTGATCCACCATGTTCATCAATGATACTGCCCAGATATGTATAGGTTTTCACACCCCCAAAGCTTCTCCGTCAAGTGTAATTGGATTGGTACATGTTGTATTGTATCGGAGAATCCTGCTTTTCCCTTTCTTTATATTGAAACCTACTGCTGCTGAGGCTGCTGCTACACTGGTTGTTTTCTCCTGCATACAAACAATAAACTATTGTATAAAGTTGTCGGAAGATATGCTTTCGCATTGGTTTTCCTTCTATATCATTTGATCTAACGTTGGTCTTCCGAGATTTCATGAAGATCAAACTAAACTTCGAATAGTAATCACCATCGTCATCAATATAAACTAACGATCGTCAAAATGTGTAATCTTTGGATATTGTTCTGAATGGATAGAAATTGTCAAGATTTACTTACGTAATCTTTGTATTTGTTGAAATTAGTGATTGAATACGGATTCGCACAACTGAAATTGTGAGTCAATGTAGGATAGATTTCATATGCGAACGATCAACCTGTAGACCACTGAGCCCGAACCATTAAAAGCGAAGATCCTAGGTTCGAGTCCAGAGTATCATCTGTTTACTGTTGAATAATTTATTGAGATGCTTACATTCTACAGCTAGTATGTTTTTACAGAATTACCAAATAATCAACGAATAAATTTTAGATTTTAAATTTCAAATGTTAATAGATGTGTATTATGATTAGAACTGAAATCCAAGAAATGCTTTGCATCCTATTTGGAACCCATCAACTAAGTTTACCTGCATCCTAGTGTGTGAGTTCATATAAAGAATTGAATCCAGTATCTTTCGCCTCATAGGTGCTACGTAGATTCTATTACTAATCAAATTCCATTAACTCTACATAACCATATGATATAATCGTTGTATACAGGCAATCTCCAAAGGATTCATATATCCAAACAATGACTAGTCGAAATTTAGTCAACGGTTATCGACAACGGAATACTTCAAAACTTATCAATAGTTATAAAAAATGGCAATGTTAATGGTTCATTTTAATTTGTAAAAGCAACTATTGAATAGCTTTCAAACACCTTATTTAATCAGTATAGGGTTGTCAAGATTGTCAAGTTTTAATTTTGATCGTGAGCAGATCAATGTTAGACCACTAATGAGAACCCGAAAGCAATCAACAGCTGTCTCATTGTAGCATAGGACTCCTCAGAATCCCGCACATGGGACTCGAACTCAAGACCTTCAGTCTCGCACGCGAATGATGAACCTCTAGATCACTGAGCTGGCATTCAACGATGTTAATATATAACATCAACCAATCCACAATATTGCGCGACAATCCTCCATTTTCGATACTCACATCTAACAGAAATCCATTTCAAACTTAATCTCTATGATTGCCAAATAGACAACTGCTATTCATAATAATCTTTAATGTCTAAAGTACATTTGCAATTTATACTACTGTATAGGAGAAAAGAAGGAAACCGGTTATTTTTTTGGCATTTTTAAAAGTGTTTTTGTTTGTTTATCTGAAACCAGAAATGTAAGCAAAACACTTTAGCTAACCCCTACACCCTATTCAACTATCTTTCCATATACTTATAACTACCTATACACAATATATTCAGCAATGTAAATATGAAATATATATACTGTACTTTATACTGTTATGACTTTTAGACCAGCTGATGATCATGTGATTTGTACACCAATCGGAATACGACTTATACAATTTTAATGTGGTGTAGGCTACTTATATCCACACAAGTAGTATGTAACGATGGTCGAGCAGAGAATATATTTCAGGAGAGAATGGGAAGGGGACGCAATTGGTAATAATCGGAGATTATGAACTGATATTTTCAGAAGGAATGGTCAAGATTGAGACAATTGACTGATACTTAGTATTGCTTGTTTGAATCTTCCCATCGATGTGTTTAGGACTGCAACTGATCAGTCTCTTATTGGCATATGTGCATACTGTGCATATTGCCTCGATATTGCCTTAATTCACAAGCATTATAAGCAAAGATGGATAGTGGCTAACAGTGGAATCCAGGACGCGCGTTTCATCCTATTTGGGACTCGTCAGCTGGATGTACCTGCATCTCAGAGTTGATGTTCAAATAGGATGAAACGGGCGTCCTGGATTCCACTGCTAGCCACTATCCATCTCTGCTTACCAATTGATTGATAGTTTATAAAATAACTATTTACTGTATGGTTGTTAGATTTTAGTTAGATAGTTTGTAATGTTCGTGTCAAATGCATTCGATTGCCCCTCACTCGAATTCTTGTTCACCACATTAGTACTGTGCTACAACCATGACATATCGACCGGTATGAGCAACTTTGGTGTCCTTATTTGTCCTTTATCCTCCTAGCTCTGCCAGTCGAGTCCAGAACATTATGTGAATCATTAATTTCAAACATACTTGGTTTATATACCAACTAAACAGACCTCATCACATTACAAAATAGGAAATAAGGTGAGATTATAATTTATGGACGAAACAATCACGTATAAGGTAACAGATCTCGGATTTTGGCGCGAAATTCATTCATCCATTTGGATAAATGAAGTTTTGGCATTAAAGCTGATATCAGTTCGTGATGAAAACCCTTAGTCTAATTTCTAACAGCAACCATCAACTTTAAAACATAATTCTAACTCATTGTGCTGATTTATAATCCTCATTTGGTCCTAGTTATTAGGTGGACACTCTCAATGTCACTCTAGCGGCTCTCAAAGGTCGTTCATAACTTATAGTCTCATCGGAAAAACCACTTGTACAAGATCAAGCCCAAAAGTGGCTGTGAATGTGGGAGACTGTAATTAATAAACTGAACATAATTTAAGAACAGTAAGTCGTACAATAATAAATAAAGCTTATAATAAGAGGCACATAATCCAGTTACTAAGTAGTTATATAGTATAAATAAATGTATAATATTATATAGTTGAAATCATGAGTCAATTGAAGCTAGACCACTATGGAAAACCTGGAAGATCTCAACGGCCGTTTCATCTCATTGTGAGGCTCCTCAGCAGTGTACATTCCCGATCCTGCACGCGGGGCTCGAACCCAAGACTTCGGTCTCATGCGCAAACGCTTAACCTATAGATCACTAGGTTAGTATCCGATGGTGTCAATACCTAACTTCAACCAATCCATGATATTGAGCCACCGTCTGTCATTTTGTCTTCAGTGAGTAATTGCTTCACAATAAACACGATTGAACTCCACCGGTCACGACTTCTCACAAGAACTCCAGCAAATACCTCTTGAAACCAGTTACTAGTGAGTACATGATGATTATTATCAGAAACGGGGTTTTATGGAGATTGCAGTAAATTAATGGTTGAATTCATGAGTCTATTAAAGCTAAACAATCATTAGGAGTTCAATATTAGGACGAAATGGCCGTCTAATTCTTCCAGGTTTTCCAGGATGGTTTAACTTACATAGACTAATGAATGTAACAATTAAATGAAGTATTCCTTATGATAATAAAAATATCGCTGTCACGTGATCAGAAGATGAAAGTATATTAAATTCTGATTGGTTACTTTATAATCTAGTCTCTAACATGTAGGCAATAATCTGATTGGATAAATCGATTGAGTCAAATATGAAGGTCATTCTCTGTCTGATTTAAGGTACATTAGTATACAAGGCCTAAAGTTACGTAATATATAAGTCAGTTGTCTTATTAACCTGATAAACATGATTCATGTAACAAAAGGGTAGTATTAGATACCGAGTACATTATATCCTGGATATTGTTTACTAATTATAAATAGGATAGAATACATTACATTATATTGCTCAATATACCTAGTAATCTGTATCTATTTACATTGTAAGATTACATCATTCATTACCCCCATCCCCCCCCCCTCCAAGCTAATCAATAAACTTTAGATCCTTTTAACTGCATTTTCTTTGTTGTCATCTTCATAGGATTTGAAATGAACTTTCAAATTAGTTGTCATAGTAAATAATTTGCAAACCTCTTTCATATGTTAATGATGGATACTATATTGGATACAATTAATGTTTATTCATGTTTTCAATTTAATATTCTTATTAAATTGAATGTAACAAAACAATGACAAAGATTATTGATTTTTGATTGTTCTTATTAAAAGCCAGACCGATTGGATTGAATAAAAATAAAATAAAAACAAAAATAGAAAATATACATAGATCCTTTTGTATACATATAATGGTAATAAAAAAGAGAAACAAACAAGGACTAATTTTTTTCAAATATAGGGAAACAAATTTTGTCTATAATAAGTGGAGTATATATATATTCAATTTTATTGATTTTTTTCTTTTCTTTGTCTATATTAATTTCATTGGATTATGATATCTCTATGACAGGTTATATTTTGGAATACTATAGAAGTCTAAGTGAATTGATATAGGATTCTATTGAATGGATATATTCATCTTCATTTATCTGATCATTTTATTGAACATTGTTGAAATTATCTCACAAACAGTTAGTAATCATTCACCAACTTCAATATGGTTACATAATAATACTACTAATAATAGTAATGATTGGATAACTAATAATCTATCTACATTATTCCAAATAATCAATGGAACTAATCAAATTAATCACCATGGCACCTATCATACAATTAATAATATATCAAGTACATCTATTATGAATTTAATCAATAGAATTAAACAAGATCGAAATTTATGTAAGTTTAATGATGAAATTTTATTGTATTCTCCCCCCCCTTCCTTTTATTATTGGTTTCATTTAGTTGTTCTGTTTTTTTTTAGTTTTTTTTTAAGGGTAGCTTGTTACTAGGGTTAAAGTTAGAGTTAGGATGACAAGTGTAAAAGAGTACTTATCAATGAAGGGGGGAAACATGAATAAATGAGGGAGTTGTGAGCATAAAGTTAACTTAAATCTTTTTTATATTTGCACTTGATTTATTAAACATTGTTAACATATCAGTGACATTATCGTAGTGTGTTATTAAAACACCCTTTTTTGAGGTACGTCCTTAGGCGATTTGTCTTTATTAGCCCCCTCCCATTGATATACACATTTATTGGAGTTCTAGTAAGAAGCAATAACCAGTGGAATTCAACCAGGTCTGTTGAGAGATATAAACTCGCTGAAGAAATTGGTGAATGGTTGCTCAGTTTCGTGGATTGATTGAAGTTAGACACTAACACCGTTGGATGGTGACCAGATAAGTGGTCTAGCGGTTAAGTGCTCTGGCGCGAGACTGGTAGTTCCTGGGTTCGAATCTTGTGAGGCGAGATCGTGGATGCGCACTGCCACTGAGTAGTCCCACAATGGGACGAAACGGCCGTCCAGTGCTTCCATGTTTTCCATGATGGTCTAGCTTCAATTGACTCATCATTTCAACTATGAAAATACTGAAATCTCCACAGAACCCCTTCTGATTTTAGTTTTCCACCTAAATTTTATTACTATGGAAGATAACCTTGTTAATATTCTATTGAAAATCTAACATTCAAGGATTTGTTCTATACTTCTGTCCTTCTAAAGATTTTTGTTTGTATTTAAGTTATGGGTATATTGAAAAGTTTCAGAGTTTAGTACATACTTTTTGACTATCAATTCACATACTTTGTTGAATAGCATTACTAACAGTATAGTTATACATTTCATCTTCATTAGGTTGGTATGTAGGTACTGGTCATCCCATTCAACCTGTCAATGTGTTGTAAGTGATAACAGATTTGATACCACAGTAACGATTTCATGCACTGTCTCGTTGTTGCATATATGGAACAAATTATCCGAGGAATTTTTCAGGCTCTAGTTTAAATTCCTTTGTGAGGATTTGTCTTTCCTCGTTGCTAATGTTAAGGTCTGTAAATAACTATTGTCTACCGGAAGTTGATAAGCTGAGTGAATCCGGACAAATCACATGCCTGTGCTCACTTGCTGCCTGAATACCAAATGCGGTAAAGGTATATTAAATAGACGACCTAATCAAAATTTAGATATCCACTTCCAGCGTCTTTACCTAATTTCCTCTACATCTGAAAATTGGTTTATTCTCTACAACAATAGTAGGCTGTTGCTAATGGTATCCGATCAAAGGATCTGGATTACTTTTCGTAGATATCTATTTGTAAATACTTAAACTTTTTTGACGATGGTCATGGTAGTTCTCCAAGTTTCAGCTCCATACAATAGAACTGTTTTGAAGTTTGCATTGAAAATTCAGACATATGTTGCCTGACAGACAGTTGCTTTGAGTTTCACATGTTCTTCAATTGTATGAGTGCTCCCCTCGTTTTCACAATCAGTGTCTTCACATCTGCATCATATCCCATTGGTTTATTTGGTTTCCCTGCTGTTCATCCTGAATATTCCTTCATGTAATGGTTCGAGATCGCGTACAACAAGCGTGTATACTAGCATCGAAATCGAACGAGTACAACATGTGAAACAACCGATGGTAAAGTTGAATTTTGGCTAAAAACAGAATCAAAAATCCATGTTTCATCTTAATCTGGGACTCGTAAGATAGATGTAGATATATTACGGTATTAGTATTCACTTACTAAAATTAATTCAAATTTCTTATAAAGGATGTTGAGTTAGAACTTCTGGAATGTAACTCATCTTAGTAGATCTTTTTCGTGACTGATTTATATAACTGATGTAGATTATTAGTACAATGCAATGTATTATGTTAAGTAATCTCACATATTGTATGGATTAATCACGGAGTAGTAACCAGTAACTGATCCAACAATGTGCTCGTTATAGTTGCGCCACATGATCAGGGGGGGGGGGCTACTGTCCAGGCCATGTAAAAGCCCGAATGTGTCTGGTTCTCCTGAAAACAAATGTAAAATTACCTTCTTGTAGAGTATATTTATGAATGTGAACTGTGAATAACCAGTACCATGTTTGTCAAGTCTCTTCTTTGATCGAATCTTAGCACGAAGCTTGTATACATGAATACATATACCTTACTTCCAACCAACCTGACTAATATCATGATATAATGCTCACAATGTTGAATCGTTTAGACAGGCGATCACATTTCAACTTAATCTATAAAAATTGATCAAATCTAATACTTACCTATCAAACACCGTAAATATGTAAGTTCCTAAAGGAGATCCCCCACGGACTGAATAACCTAGTCATGGTAACGCTTCTAAATTTGACATTGAGTAGTAATGGTTAAAATCCTATAGAAATATTCATTCACTCGATACTAAGAATACATCTTACTAATAAAACCAAGTACCATATAACATAGGTCGAATATAGCTTTCTGTCAACCAAATTCAACCATCTAACGTCAGATACAGTTTTTATGATATTATTTTGAATCTTAATACCGGCAGAAAGCTTTAAATTATGGATTCTAGCGGTTTCTGATATAGCGATCATTTGATAGCATCGAATGGTGATCAGTCCATTTCATTACAGGCTAATGGAAACCGAAAATATGAAACATCATGTTTTGACTCACTCATCTTAAGAAAACGCGCTAAATTCAATCTCATCAAAGTTCGTATGTATATACTTCTATGGAGTTTGAAATTAGAATAAAACAATATCTGATAGTTTATAAACCATACTAATTTCCTGAATGACATCTTTCTATACCAAAAGAATATCTTCAACTGCTGCATTCCCTTTCATCTCAGTATGTCTTTGACCAATTATTCTTACTTACTTATTTACGCCTGTTACTTCCAACGGAGCATAGGATGCCAACCAGCTTCCTCTAATCCACTCTGTCCTGGGCCTTCTTTTCTAGTTCTATTCATTTTTGTTTATTCTTCTCATGTATATCTCTTTGTTCTTTGTTCTTCCTGTTCTCCTTTGACCTTCAGTATTCCATGTGAGGGCTTGTCTTGTGACGCAATTGGGTGATTTCCTCAATGTGTTTCATATCCACTTCCAGCGCTTCTTCCTGATTTCTTCCTTCACTGGTAGGAATCTGGTTTGTCGTCTCCCACAGTAAATTGTTGCTGATAGAGTCTGGCCAACGGATCCGGAGTATTTTGCATAGACAACTGTTGATAAACACCTGTATCTTCTGGATAGTGGCTTTCGTAGTTCTTCACGTAAACCAACTAATCTGTTTCACGAATACTTAGATACTAATCAGTATTTTATAATAATACTAATAATTCTGAAACCTTACCACTATTTCTAGTGTCATTAGTCTCTTAATGAATATTGATGTAATCACATGAATCAATCAGTATATCTTCTTAATGCCTAATCTTTTAATTCAATGTCTCTTTTTGAGATTATTAAACGGTCCAGTTGTATTTTTGATGACTTTGGGCAATTAAAAGTTTCACTACTAACTGGTTTGGTTGACAACACACACATACACACATAAATATACATACATACACACACATGTTTGTACGTTTTCAGTCCCACTGTTTATCATGACAACTATTTCTTGTTATTACAATTATATTGCCATGCACTTTACAGTCGTTTTCTACCCTATGGGTGAATTACACTTTAGTTAATCAGTACGTAATCTTGTAAGAAATATGTAAAAAAAGATGTTCCTACTTTCAAGTTATCTTTCTAGTTTGTATAAAAGATTTAAACTAGCACAAATCACCTTAAGAAAGATAGAATAAAGCCTACATTGATAAATATCTGTTGCATAATACACAATGGTTGTTGGTAATAATAATAATAATAATAATAATAATAATAATAATAATAACACTACATTACTTTGCAAAAGTATTTTGATAATTATCAGAAAGGGTTTTGTGGAGATTTAGTATTTTCATAGTTGAAAGCATGAGTCAATTGAAGCTAGACCACCAAAGAAAACCTGGAAGCAATGGATGGCTGTTTCGTCCTATTGTGGGACTCCTCAGTGGCAGTGCGCATCCTTGACCTCGCCTCACGAGATTCGAACCCAGGACCTATCAGTCTCGCGCTAGAGCGCCCAACCGATACACCACTGAGCTGGTATCCAATGGAGTTTACGTTTAACTCCAACCAATCCACGAAGTTGAGCGATTAATTTAAAGCGAACATTCTAAGACAATCATTATAAGCAAAGATGGATAGTGGCTAGTAGTGGAATCCAATTTGACGCGCGTTTCATCCTATTTGGGACTCGTCAACTTGATGTACCTGCATCCCAGAGTTCATGTTCACTCTGAAACTCGAACCCAGTATCGTTCGTTTCAAACGCCATCGTATTACCCACTCGGCTATTGAGTTCTGCTAGCCACTATCCATCTTTGCTTATAATGCTTGTGAATTAAGGCAATATCGAGGCAATATGCACAGTATGCACATATGCCAATAAGAGACTGACCAGTTGCAGTCCTAAGCATCAATGGGAAGATTCAAACAAACAATACTAAGTGAATTCTAAGACAATGTTTTTAATTTGTTATATTGATGTACGAAAAGATATACTAACAACTTGGAATCATTATGTAGCCACTCAATGGTCTAACGATTAAGTGCTTGCCACAATGTCCTGTGTTTAATTCGTGATGAGATTGTTAGTAACCACAGCTGAGGTATCCCATAGTAAAAAGAAGTGGATGTCCAGCGCTTTTTAATCCTCATTGATTGTCTATTTATGATTAACACGTTCAAGCTATTAAGTTTGGAAGAAACTGAACTATACAGAGGTCTTAGATTTGGAATAACGATGACTTGATAATTAAAGCCGACTATGAATATATTTGTGCTTCGTAAACTAATCATGGTGATCAAGGACGTTAAATTTCAATACCTGGTATTTTCAAACTCTATTACTATTGACTATGAACTTCACATGTTGTCCAA